ATTTGAATAAAAAGTTGCACGTTGCTTACAGCAAACTTTCAATCAATATTGTAACATTGCAGCATCACCTTGCAGGGTTCCCGTCAACTGAAGAGCAACCAGTTTGACTGTAAGATACTCACATAAACTTGTGCCGTTGGTACAGCTGTTTTCGACTGCACTGTGTTCTTCAAGGTTTCCATTCTTGCCGCAAACTGAGATTCAAGGGCTTCTACTTGCTGGGCACAGCCAATAACATCATTCTATCGATTGAAAGGAGATTTAAACACTGCTCAATTCAAACCTATCTTTTTAACCATTTCTAAGTTTCCTTTTGCCTCTGTGCTAAAACAAGTCTTTGTGTAAAAGCATTCATTAGAGAAAGCAGTTCACCAACAAGTCAATTTTCTGCCAAGCAAACTCATTTTCATACGGGAAGTTTTGCATGAGGACTCGCTTTAAAACAGAGGCAAAAGTCGACTCGAAAATGGCGTATCTAAGCTCACGATACAAACAGATTTAGCAGTGCTTGCATTTCACGGTTTCATGCAGATCTCGCAAGGTCTCACACAAAAGACTCAATACCCTTTGATAGAACAATAAAACAAACAACAGAAACAATGTCCCTAGCCCCAAACCAATAAGAGCTGCTACGCTATAACGACAAACAGAATTACAAGCTTAAAAGAGCTATTACACTTCCTCATGAAGGACCAAACACTATGCAAGTTGACCGCTTGTAAACAAACATTTACTCTGCTGTTTTGATGCAATACTGTTTTACAAAGAACATTATGGTCTCTTAAATGATAAATGTTTTTAAAACTGCTTATCTTATAACGAACTCCGGCATGTGTCTCTATCATAATTTATCTTCAATGTCTCTAGCCTGGGGGGGAGAGACAACTCAGACTCGAGCAGGGAAATCACGTGATTATCGTGATGTCATCGTTTTCGAAAAGCTCCGTTTTCTAAACGTTCTTCCTCCAACACTAAAACGCAGAGCCGGCGTTTACAAATCCCTCCGGTTTGAAGAGCGTTTTCAAAGAGCTCCGTTTTCGTGATGGATTAGTGTGGACGGTAGACCTAACCGTAGAAATAAAGCTGCGTTTTCAAAATGTCTTCACTCCAACACTAAAACACAAAGCTGGCGTTTTCAAATTCCTCCGGTTTGAAGAGCGTTTTCGAAAAGCTCTGTTTTTGTGACGGATTAGTGTGGACGGTAGGCCTAGCCGTAGAAATAAAGGTGCTTTTTCAAATTCCTCCAGTGTAGTGTGGATGGGACCTTACATTGTATGTGTTTTTTTCTGGTTTATTTTATTCCTTACATTCACGAAATGGCAGGGTTTCATCTTGCGCATTAATTGTTCAGATATAGAGGATATTACATGCCCGCGCGGGGATACAAATTTTATCTTCGAGTGTTCAACTCGATATCTCACAAGTGATTGCAGGGAACGAGTGAGATATTGAGTTGAACACAAGAAGATAAAATTCGTATCCACAAGCGGGCATGTAATATTCTGTTTATTATATAAACATACTAATGACGACGTTTTTGACGATTTTCCGAAGATTTCCGACCACTTTCCGAAGATTTCCGAATATTTTCCAAAATTGTTCCGAAGGCCAGACGGACGCTTCCGAATATTTTCTGAACATTTCCGAACATTTTCGGAAGATTACCGAAGATTGCTGAAGACGACCGAAGAAGATCCGAAGATGTTTCGATCATACGTCAAGTGTAGTCAAGTGTAGTCATACGTCAAGTGTAGTCAAAGGTACAACAGAAAAATGTCAAAAAGGAATGATATCTCCACAGTGTGAAAGATAAAAATAGTATCCTCACTGCACACAATGAAGATATGATTTTTTAGTAACAGGAAAATCCTGGTATTTCACTGGTGTTTATATAATAAAAACAAATTAAAACTCACCAACAATATGGATAGAAATGCTTCATGCTGGCGTGTGTTGATCAAAGCTTCTTTAATCAAGTTTAAAGACAGTCCTTCAAGAGACTTTTTGTTGATAACAACATCCTCGATTAATGCTGTGGATTATGGACAATACGTTTTACAATCTTAACTGATCTTTAAACCAAAAATAACCGCAAAAAGGAGTGATTAACAAACAAGAGGAAACCACAAAACAACTCCTTTCAGGCAAGTTAAGGTAATAGCTTTTCATTAAGGGCCGGCTGCCAGGCAAATGTAGGGGCTGTGAGGATGATTTTGCTTGCCTCATTTGATCATCTAGAGGAAAGATTTCTTCATAAAAGTAGTTCAGTTCAAAATGTTTTGTCCACCTATGAGTTGCTCTCCTGCTGAAAACATTAATGAAACCCCTGACTAATTTGCATGACTTAAAACATAACTAGCTCCAGTTACTGTAGGAAATGCACATGAAACACCGGTCACCTGTATATGTAAAGGCCAGCTTGGTTGTATTTTTAATCTCTGTTTGCACATTCTGTGTTGTGGCAGGAACAGCTTCACTCAGTATGGCAGGTACTAACAGGAAACAGCAAAAAGTATTACAGTCACTTTACGATGGTAATATGGACTGTTATTGACTGAGATTAAGGGCTGATATTCCTTTGCAAACTTTGAAACTTGAGTTAGGTGCAGATACCATTATCAAGAGATTGGTAGATCAAAATAACAATTTGGTAATAATCTGGAATCGTAATTATTATGATCATACTAATACTTAAATTACACCAGAAATATTTTTGAGAGCTGCTTTTAAACCCATCAACACCTAAGGTGGTTGGTCAACCAGCATTAATCCTTTAAGATAAACAATCATTATCTTCACTTATAAACAAAAGTTGTTCTCCCCACCCTCTCCCTCTCTGTGCTTAAACTAACTAAATTAAAACTTACAGTCATCAATTCCTTCTCCTCCTTTGCCTCACTCACGATTAAAAAGTCGGATTCCCGTCACAATCAATGTCAACTCATTTAGCTGTCTTTCCTTATCACGCTTTGTTAGAGACATGAAGGTTCCCAGCTCCGTTTGAGGGAATACACTTTGCAAGGCAGCTGCAACATAAGAATAGTACAAATGTTGTGATTGGCCAATAATCATATTCTACAGTATATTATTACATGGCTTGAAAGCTCCATACCTTGGTAAGTCCCATCTGTAACCCTACTAACATTTCAAGAGCTAAAAAAATGAAGACTTGTGAGAAATCAGTCACTAACAAAACAATCAGAAATTTTAACAAACCTGTGGCTTCCCTAACAACAGCAATGTCTGTAGGTGAACCAAGCCCAGACCGCAACAATACACAAGACACTATTCTTCTGTAGAGACCTAGTACATGTACAAGCAAGTATTAAGTTTTATAGGTTTAAGCTCAGATTAACTTACTAACAGAGGTGCAATTACTTCTTGTAGGAGGCAATACATACATACTGGATCATAAAGTATCCCATGCAGTTATTATACCAGATAAAAATACATGTAGACACCCTGACCCTCTAGGTTGGGGTTATGTCCTAACAACACTATCCTGCAAAACAGCTAACATTACAGAAACCTAAATGGCCTTACATGCACCCAAGAGCACAAAGAAGGTTAAGTACCTGAGTGAGTTAACAAGAGCTATCTCTACCACTAATCTAATGAGAACTTTGATTAAATACTCTAGAGGACAATGAAATTCATTTTATTAACAGGGAACAAGGGAGAAAACTGGGAATTCATGGTCCCTTTGATCCTTACAAATCATTGTATATTAACTAGTATAATGTACCCTCCAGTTCATCTCTTGTCCTGGCTCGACTGTCTGTTATCTCTCTGATGACTGGTTGGAGTCGCTGATCAAGTACTCTTCTATGTTCTTCCAGGAAATCAGCTGCATAATAAAAAACATTTTAAAAAACTTGGTGAACAATGTTGCCTTGCATTACAAAATTTTCTGATCTGATTCTAATTTTCCAATTCAGATCTTGATTTCTCAAATATTAATTGACAAACAGGAAAGCTAGCAGACACTAAGTAGTCAGAGTAAATTGTTTTAAATTATTTTTATAATTAATTTATCCTAAAATGGCTAGAAATGAGTATCACTTATGTTCAGTTAGGCTGGTCAGTCTGGAATAGGGTGGGCATTTTGACACATTTGAGATT